CTATCTATCTATCTATCTATCTATCTATCTATCTATCTATCTATCTATCTATCTATCTATCTATCTATCTATCTATCTATCTATCATCTTGTGCCAAATCAAATATCAGGTAATTACAGTTTTTGTGGATTGATGAGCATCACAGCTTAACCTCCTGTGAGCAAAACTTCTTTTTAGTGGTAATTTCTCCAAAATCTGCAGATTAATATGTTTAGAACTGGACGCTCATTTTACAGGAGTGTTTTTCCCTCATATGAGGACAGTTCCTTATGGACGCAATAAAAACATGACTCGTTAAAAACGTGCCCTTACACAGTGGACCTATCAAATTTGACCTAATGTACCTTCATATAGTCAAAAATTTGTTAAATATGAAATGGAATACATAGTTTTTCCTTTTTTATTTTAGTTTTCAATTAAAAAAAAAATCAGATAATATTGATTTAATTAAGTAAAAAAAGTGTAAATTTGATTTGTTTGGTAATATTTCAGATTTTCTTACAGAAATAGATGTTTTTCGTCAGTTTTTTTCTTGGGTCAGGTTTTAGAGGGTTAACAGTACTTGCATACATACAACATTCAGATAAATCACTTTTTATCAAAAATATTTTAAATCCTACGTAGTAAACAATATTTCTTAAAAATATATTTAATTACCAAACCAAATGAACTAATCACATGCATGCAGCCGTCTGATATATTGATTTAACGATGAGCGAGTCGCAGAATATTGAGTTACGAGCAGAAAAAAAATCTTTTTATCAAATAACTCACTTCTTAATGACTTCTGTGTTGTATGCAGAGGGAACAACACTACAAGCATCTGTGTTACAGTGAATAGAACGCAAAACACAGAGAGCATTGTGAGTGAGTCTGTTTTGTACACTGTCTATCTCAGAACTGTGTGTCAATATTCAGCTGAGGACACAAACCTCCAACAATGTTTTTGGAGCCAGATCGGTCCTCTGGGCAGAAACATAATCAAACAAAGCTGAAAGCTTGAGGGGCTTCACTAAAAACGGGGGACTCAGTGACATTCCTAAGATGACTCCAAGATAAAGCAAATATTTTTGTTTTTACTCTAAGATGGGAGGAAACAGGGCCCTCTCTAGAATCTTTTTACCCTTATTTCTTTAGATGACCTGTGACTTTAGACTGTAATGAACAGCAGGCTACAGTATGTAAGAAGTATCTATTTATTCTGACGTATTGGAGTTCAGCTCAATGGCGGCAGGGGTGCTGTTTAACTTTGTGACTGAGTCAGGATTCAATGATACCTGGATTTTAAGTTATCTCTGTCTGTCTTCCTTTTTTTGCCTTTCCCTGAAGAAATAATGGACATTGTGAGCTTAGATTAGTTTAAAAGAGATGACAATTTTCACTAAACTGAAACACAACAGATAATTATATGGCTTTCTAATGTTCTATTTTTGCCAAAGAAATGTATTTCACAAATACCTGGAAAAAAAACAGCTTGGGACAGAAAGGGCTAATGCCAGGCTGATGTTTCCGTTCACTTCAATTAATATGTGTTAAAAAATACATCTTAAAATTTCATGACTGGTGACCTCAAAAACAGAATTTGGTGCCCAGGAAATGTGAGGAAACCATGAGTGAGGAAACATTTAACAGGAGACATATTCACTATCCACACACGCACTGTGCCACATCAAAGGTTTACCGTCCCAATTCAAGTCAAGACGGCCCCTAAAATCCCAGTTTTAACAAATGAAATGACTGGCAAACAACTTAAATTAATATTTAACACACGTACTAAACCACTTGATTTGAATTTGATGGCAGTAACATGTTAAGAATAGTTGGCACAGGGGCAATAAATTATTCACAACAGAGCACAAAAATGTTAATTTCTCAGAAAAAAGTGCTTTTACTTAATAGTTTGTTCCAATGTTCACCCTCAGACTTGTTTTTTTTCTGCTGTTGCTGTTGATTCCCTTCAGTTTAAGTCGAATCACACAAACGGCTGTCAGCAGCCATACATGTGGGAGCGGGAGGCCGAGGACACAAGTGTGGGACTTCCTGGGGGAGGGGACAGGGATAGCGCACGTTGATGAAGAGTTTTATTAGAGTAAACAAAAGGCACTGCTTAGGTTGGATGCAATCCAAAGGTTTAAAGTGAGATAAGTTAGTAAGAAAAACAACTGACTGGAGGGGGGGAAGGCAGAAGTCAATGAACTGTAGCTGGATAAAACAAAAAGTCCAAATTGTGCAGGAAGTTAGAAAGACTAAATAAAGTCTACAAAACAAAACGAGCTGGAAAGGAAATCAAAGAGCAAAGGTAGATCAAGAACAAAAAGGGAAACAAACTTGAGGAATGTGGCATCATCGCTTGGAAACCATGAATATCTGACAGATTCAGTGGTATTAAGACTCACGGGCCACAAAAATCAGGGCAGACCTGTGAGAGTTAAAATACTAATTCAATCTGATTAAAAAAGACTTACATTTTTTAAACTGAAACAGTTCGAAACGTTGAGCAGGAATGCATCCTGGTAGAGTGAAGCTGGATCAAATACAGATGGAAAAGTCTGGCTGGAGCAGCTGGGATTTAGTAAAGTGAAAAAGAAACAAGCTTCTTTCTTTCAAATATTTTTGTTTTGAAGCGGGCAGAATATCATAAATACATTCATCTTTGGTCTGTGCAATGACTCATTATAAAATCTATATATAAGTAACATGAGTGTCCTACAGAGTAAATCAATGAAAAACAATAGATACGAGAAACATTAGAAAAATATACAAAAATAAGTGAATAATACCTTTATTGAAATTTGAAATAATAAATCAAATCAAGTAAATAAATAAGTAATAACACCCTCCCTCACCCACCCCGTCCCACCCGCTGAGCACTACTCAAGCTGTCCTACATCCTGATTCAGGAAAGAAACCATTGGTTGCCACATGCAGGGGAAATTTGTCCCTTTGAGTTTCTAACAAGCTGCTTCCTCCCCCCCCCCAGGTTTGAAGTGGTTTGGGAGCCTCACAAATCTCTCCTCCAGAAAGTCCAAAAGCAGAGCAGCTTCTGGGCCTCATGGGAGCCCGAGCAGCCCCTGCGAGGCCTCAACAGCGGCGGGGGGGCAGTCGCTGGACGACATGGAGCCCCGCCTCCACAGTCCTGGCTACGCCCGCTCCGAGGACATGTACACGCATGTCGGCACCGTGCCCCGCGGCGAGGGCCGGAGGAAGAGCCGCAGGGGGGCAAAGGGGCAGAAGGCAGAGGAGGCGGGGCCGAGAGGGGGGCCGGGCAGACCGAAGGCGGGGGAACACGTCCCGGACTCTCCACTGCTCTCCGCCCTGTCCAGCCTCAGTCTGACCAGCATGGAGCCAGTTTCCACCCGGCCGCTGCCCTCCACCCCAACACCCGTCCGAGCTTCACCTTTGACCTCGGCACCTGGCGGCGACGTCGGAAACGCTCCAGATGATCCCGCCGCCCGCTGCCAGGCGCCACAGAGGGCCACGAAGCCTCACAGGAGAAACACAGCAGCCTCCAAACAGGATGTGTACGTGCCGATGGACCCAGTGTCCGACCCACAAACAGAGAGGCAACGAGGCCTCGCATGTGCACCTGGAACCAGCAGGACCAGCTCACCAGAAGAGGGGAGTCATGACAGGTGAGGGAGATTATTTAATACTCACTCAGGGAGTGGAAACTGCAGCACGGCTGGTCTGACGTTTGACACAAAGCAACACTTCTGGAACACTTGAAATCATATGTTTTTGTATGTTTTTACTCTGTTTGTCCTTATCTTTTTTCTTTACAATACTGTAAACTTCAAGCTACTCTTGCGCCCTCTCCAAGCAGCTGTGTGTCCTTCCTTTAAGGAGTCTTCAGGAGCAGCTCTCCAGGCTTCTTGAAGGACGTCCCAAAGCTCTTCTTTGGATGCGGGCTGCCTTTGGTTCTGTTCTCTGTCAGATGATCCCACACTGCTTCATAATGTAGAGCTCCGGGTTCTGGGGAAGATTCATCCCTCCATCAGAGCTGCTGCCACTGATACTTAAGAATGGCTTCTTGACAGCCCCCCTTCCTTGGAGAGCATTTCTGATGAGGCTTGGTCCAACAGGAGATGATCAGCTGAAGGTCCAGATGAATCTCTCAGCTCCTGGTTCAGGTCTTTGCTGGATTTGTTCCTCTTTCTTAAGGACATCACTTTCAGATCCTCTTCATCGGATGGAGATAGTTTTTTAGGCCCAACTCTTCTTCTTTTGTCCACCACTTTTCCAGTTACCTCAAACATTTTTAAATCTCTGTCAAACTTATCTTTGGCCTTTTTCAAACATCATCTTAAGAACCCGAAGATCCACTTTAATCTTCTGCTCTGTTCTGTGTGGTACAACACTGGTTGTTTCTTTGAGTTAGGGGTTATTTTGGTTTAAATAATTCAAATGCAATATGATACTATTGAATATCTAGAGATTTAAGAGACCAAACAGTATTGTAAGTTGTATGAATAAGCTGCAAGGAAGCATGAAGAAATTCAACGATTATAGAATTTTTCAAAAGTAAGAGAATAACTCGAGAAAATCCCAATTGTTGTCGGAAATGTATCACTATAATCAGAAAAAAGGCCATCATTTCGCCCCCAAAAAACTTTTTTAACAACAAAAAATTGAGATACATGACAATATAAAAGTGTAAGTGTTTTATGTGGAGGTGTTTTATGTGAAAACGTAGCAAAAAATATATTGCACCAATACATCAGTAATAAAAAAATGTGCCGAAACGGAGGCAGAGGACATGCGCAGTGGCGCTCAGCCGCCTCCAGCTGGGCTCCAGTGGGCAGCGGCGCGCGTGCGGGACCGTGCGGGGAAAAACATGAGCCGAGCCGGGGATAAGGACCGCGAGCCGGTCCGCTGCGGGGAGGAGGACGCCACCGGGAGGTGAGGGGCGCTGCCCGGCCGTCTGTTCGAACCCGAAATCAGCCAGAGGGGGGTGGTTTGTGCGGGTGTGAGAGGAGCGGAGGGAAAAAAAAGTTTGGCGTGTCAGAACCGGACCTGCCTCAAGGAGAATTTAATGAAGAATGTGCGTTTAAACTTTTTATTTTTAAGATTTGCTCCTTGGTTGTCGTTAGTTTTTTGCGACAAAACAGTAAACAGCCCACACAAAGGAATAAGTAAATAAGCATATGAATAAATAGATGGTGGGAGAACGCAGAGCGGTTGGACCTGGCCGGACTGAGCCTTACATAAGAGCAGGAATCTCATCCTGGCTTCAGTCAGAACATCGATAAGAGTGTTTGACAGATGAGATGCCGCCTGTTTATCTGGAGCTCCTCAATCTGCGCGTTTTAAAAGGAGAACTGAGCCTCCTGGAGCGAAATAATCAGATTTTCTGCTTCTGTTTGAATGATTTATTTAAAATCATATTGGGGTATTTGTGTGACAAAACTTCCCAGAGACGTCAGCCGTAGTGCAAATAAAAGTTATCTGATCTGACCGTAAAGGTCAGCATGCAGATTCAGACGGGAAAAAGAGTGGAATTTACCTCTTTGGTTTAGTCCAGCTAATCAGACACAAAACTACCAAGAAAGTACACGATAAGTCTACAAAAACACATAAAAGGATAACAAAGAAATGCGAAGGAACCATGAAGAGTCACAGAATGAGCATAAAAAGGCCAAATGAAAGGGGAACATCCCTGAGAGCTGATTTAAACAGAGTGCAAATTAAAGCTCCTAGTGATGATGGATGCTGCCTGAGACAAATAAAAGACACAAAGTGTCGTCAGGGAAGCAGAGCTGTTACCGAGGCCTGCAGACGTCCACCAACACCTGGAGGACTGGAGCTGATGGAGGAGCTGAGGCAAAGTCCATGTGGGATTCAGGAGATTAAAGACTGATCACACAAAAGTTTCATCCAGAGCAAGTCTGTGGGAACAGCTGGAAACTCGATGGGACTTAATAACCAGAGAAACTGTCAGAAAGGAGATAAAAACAACCAGAGGAAGAATGGAAGCTGTTATCAAGAGCCGAGAGATTAAGTTTAAGCTGATTCGGAGAGGAAGAAGACTGATTCTCTTTGATATTTAACTAATGAACAACAAATATTTTAAGTTTCAAACAGCTTCCTCCCAGCTTTATTTTAAAAAATACATATTTTTTTGTTTTTCAAACAGGTTGGAAGATAAATTAGCATTTATTGGAATTCCCATCTGTTTTTACTGTTTATCTCCACATTTTGGTTGCTGCTGTTCCACTATTTGAGCCTGACACTGCTATTATTCCTTTAACTCCGGGTGCTGAAATAAAACGGCATCTGTGTGACCCATCAAAACCACTAAAGGTCCAGTTATCACAAATACAACAAACATAGCAGCCTGCTCTTGAAAGTCCAAACTGGCTCAAATTCTGAGGATAAAACTAAACGAGAGGCTTAAACGTCTCAAAATGTTTGTGGTAATTAAACCGGCAGCTACCTTTACTCCCTTTTTTAGAGTTCCTGCTCCAAGCTGTGACTCTCATCCTTCAGCAACGTGACCCTCCCAACTATTTCTGCATCATGAGCACTTCCTGGTTTAATCTTTTTAAAGTGTGATCAGTAAATCTAATATCATTTAAAAATCTAGAATCATTCAAAGTCAACAGGAAATGATGGTGACGTAGTTAGAGCCGAGCGGGTCGTTTGGATGGCTTCAGCCACCATAACATAAACTGAAGCCCCCCTAAAAGAAAAGCATTTTGATATAAATGTTCCTTATAATGGGGGCCGTGTTCAGTAAATCCATGTGGGAGTCTGTGAGGATAAGACCGGGGTGATGAGTGACGGCGTTTTCACCTTTCTGTGGACTATCTGTCCCTCAGAGTGTCTTTTTAACTATCTCAAGGCTCGTTTTAACCTCCTGGACTGGAGCTTGGCTCCTCGGAGGCAGATTCCCAGAGCTGACAGCTAGAGCTTTTTACAGCTCACTGACCAGCAAAAGCAGAAGTGGTCATCGAGCCGTTGCTCAGGCCGACCCAACCTTCTTTTGAACAGTCAAACAGACTCTGAGGCGGCTTGTTGTGGATACTGTTTTGTGGCGTAACCCGGCAGCAGGAAGTGGAATAAATTGGGAGGCTGGTGTCTGTGATCCAGGTGTTCCCCCTTAACCCTGGGGACACTGGACATGACGCTTCAGACTTTAAGAATAAACAGATGTCTGCTCGCACAGATGTGGAGCCAAATCTTCTCTGCTTCACTATGTCTCAGTCCCCTTTTTTCTGAGATATCTGCAGCTTCTTTACAGACTGGATTTACAGATCGCTGTCCAAAAAGGCAGATTTTTAGCCTGGAAATGTTCCTTCTCTTTGGTCTCACTCATTCTTAGACGGCAGACTTAATACCTGTATTCATAAGGTTGTATCTTATCTGCTTAAATGTCCTTCTTTTTGTTGTTGGTCATGTGGTCGGATTAAATTTGAAACCTAAACTGATGCACAATTGAGGGGATGATGGAAGGTATATTTCAGATAACGGAATAAAAATAACTATTCAACTGATACAAACCAAAAATGCAGCGGACGCATGTAATTAGAATCTCAGCTACTTCAGAGGAAGTGGTGACGACGCAAAACACAAAGAAGCAACACCACAGGACAAATTAAGGCTCGTTAAAAGTGAACAGGAAATGAAGCAGATGTGGACTTTATCAGAGCTGAGGGGGTTTGGGTGGCTTGAGCCACTATAAAATTAACAGAAAGCCCCCCCTAAAAAAACAAAAACATTTTAATATAAATCTTCTTTATAATGGGGCCTGTGTTCAATAAATCCATGTTGGGAGTCTATACAGATCAATAATCATGCAAATGTATTCTCTTGGGTCAAAAAAGTCTCAGAGATTCTGACATATGTGGGGGAAAAAATGACTCCATAACATGATTTCTGTTGTATCCATGCTTTTCCTGTGATTCTGCTGTTCTGTTTGGTTAATAGTTATTTTATCTCTGTTTTCTTTGTTTTGTTTGCTGTGTTTTCCTCCTTCACCTGTGTTCGTTCTCCTCTGCTGTCTCCACTCACTGTAATTAAGCTTCCTGGTTTCCTTTCTCTTCGTCAGTTTGTTGGTGTTCTGGTCTTTTGCTCTCGGGTCACTGGTTTCTTCAGGTTCAGTTTTGGTAATCGGGCTTGTTGTTGTTTGCTTCCCAGTTTCCTGTAGTGCTCCCCCACCCTTCTTACTTTAATGTTTTCCTGCTGCAGCACACCTGATTCAAATGAATGGGATGGCTCTTAATCTCTTTAAACTCTGCAGAATTTGAATCAGGTGTGCTGGAGCAGGAAACATGGAAAACATGCAGGGCCTTCAGGTAATGGCCGGGAAGCAGATTTAATGAAGTATAGTTCGTAAAATATGGAAGAGAACCAACACTGAGTTGGGTCCCACATGAAGAGGGATCCACTCTCTTTGAATGGCCGAGGCAGCCGCCTATTTAGACAAACAGGATTCATGAACTTCATAAAGGAAAAATGTGGGTTGTGATGAATCTGCAAGTAGACTGTATTTTAAGTCAGAATTTGGGCTGTTGTGAGGTGTTAAGCAGTGATCACAGACCTCTCGGGTTTAAAATCTGTTCTTTCCTATACGTTTTAAAATGAATAATAATATATGAACTTCTCAGATGGGCCGATGGATGTAATGGTTAAATATTTAACAGCATCTTTTTCATAAAACGTTCTTTTAAATTTAGTCTTTATTATCTTTTTCTATGGGTAAATCGGTAATGTTCGTAATAGGTTTATAAATGGATAAAAAAGGTGCTCATAATTCACAACAAAAAGCTTGAATATGTGTTTTGCAGCTTTTCCTGTTTTGAAAAAAATGGGGGAAAAAGCTACTTCAAATATGGAGCTATTATTATATTCAAATAATTTTGAAATAGCCTGTTGACAAGTTTTGTCCTTTATTTTTTACTTCTTTGTTTTGACTCCACTCAGTCTGCAGTAGTGCCTTTTTATGTTTCCGTTTTGCATTCATCTGATTTTGTTTTAGTCTCTCCGAATTCAAAGTTTGATCCCTTTTAAAGTTGATTTTAGACTTTTCAACAGCGACTATCCAGAACAAAATTCATCATTGATCATTTACTCAAGTGTATGAAGACCAGTGTCTTTAATGTGCTTTTAATGTGTTTTTATAGAAAGCACTTTGTGTTACTTTCTGTATGAAAGGTGCTTCAATTATAATTTAATTGATAAAAGGAAAAAGTACTACTTTGATAAGAATATAACACGAAAAGAAAATAATAATGAAAATAATTTTGTTAAATCTACTCTTTCTGTGCTTCCCTCTATCTCTTCGCTGTCATCACTGACTCCGACTAGGGATTTTCCTCTAGAGAGCTTATTGTCAGATTATTGATGACTGTAACACTTCGTCTACTTTGGAAGTTGCTTTGGATAAAAGCGTCTGCTAAATACATTAACATAAATCGAAAAGTTAAATCCATTGAAAATAACTAAATAAGTTAGCATGAATAACAAATACATTATACAGGAGAAAAACTAATAATGTAAACTATCCTAATAATAATGGTGACCATAGAAACTATTTCAAATTTATTTTGGGGAACTAAAGAATTTCAGGTAAAGCAAAAGCTGTTTTTTGTTTGAAAGCTGTTTTTTTTAGTGCTTACTCGGGGTTCATTTCCTGGCTGAGCTCTTCCCCAGAGAACTAAACAGCCACTGGGGGGCGCTGTCAGAGATAAACTTTCGCTTTTTGGAGAAGGTTTATCTGCCGGCTCAGAACCACTAGTCCAGAGAGTTAAACTTAGTTTCCAGTTGAGCTGGACAGATTCAGCCTGCTCTGGCAGCTTGGTGTGAGGCCATTTGGCTATTGAATCGTTCACTTCTTCATTAATCCTTGTTTTATGCACACGCAGCCCGGATTTACCCAGACTGCCGAGCGGTAGTCGCCGTTGAGCTCTCTGATAACTCGAAACGATCAGAACAACTCTCTCTTGGATGCCTGACAGTTTCCCATGCTGTGTTTTCGCTGCGCGCTCACATCTGTGCGTGCCGTCTGTTCTCAGAGTTTGTGTTTGGGAACAAAAGGTCACCTCCCCTGACTCTTGAAAATATGCAGGCAGTGGAGGAAGGAGGGGATGATGGAGGGGAGAGGGCCTCGTTTCCCCGAGACAGCGCTGCCATTCGGGTGCTTTTCCTTTTCCTCATCAGAGTCTGATCCTGTCGGTGCTGAGCCTGCAGAGCTTTGGTTTGAATGCAGAACAGATAGTTTGGAGATATGAGCTTTTACTTCCACCCCGACCCCACCTGCAGAGGTTTGTTGTGTTGCAAGTTGTTGCTAAGTGGTGTCGAGGTAACTCCCTTTTTCTCTCAGAAAGTTGTGCAAGCCATTTCAGTGGCAGCAGGAAGAAGGGAAAAAAACGCCTCTGACTTCTGCTGGCTTTAAAAACTGCTGCAAAGAAACCCCAAAAGAAGAAGTGAGGAAGCGGCTCTTTTCCAACCGGATTTTCAGGGTTTTCCATCAGGTATCAAGTACATTTGAGCTCCAGCACAGATGTTAGGATCCCTGCAGCCGGGTTTTTAAACCTGGCCGCTTCCTGCGACTCATCCACTGATGTCCCTCTCTGGCCAATTAGAGGCCGGCAGCCTGCAGACGTCGTTTTCAGCTCCAATCAGCTCCAATCGAAGCCCGATTAGGTTACTCTCCTGAGTCCTTTTCACACTGGAATGGGGGAAAAATTCTTCCTTCTCAAACTTAAAGTCGTCCTTAATCTTTCTCTGTATGTAATAAATGACAAATTATTTATTTTTGGGGGGTTCTTTTGGCCAAAAATGACAAAATATCTGATTCATAATGTCAGCTGTTATATTATTTACATATATACATTGTATACCGGTATAATTGTTTTTATATTTTATTTTAGAATAAATAAAGGTGTCATGTTAGGGGATGTGTGGGTGGAATCGGCTCTCACCTCATGGTTTCTTTCTTCCTTCAGGTGTCCGGTCGGGACAGACGGTGGTGGAGAGTATGTGAAGGTAAGAATCCTCTTTTTTTTTATTTCACATTTCTTATTCGGTTTTCTGTGGTCTGGTCTCTTTCCTCATTATTTCCTCTGCTCACTTCTGCTCGTTTAACTCAACGCTTTCTGCTCCCACCTCTCTCTGTAAAGTCCCAGAAAAATAACCAGAATGTGGCTTCTGGAGAGTTTCTGTGTTTGATTTATTTATTTTACCTTGTTCAGCGTTATGGCATCAGAACTGAAATCTGAGTGGGTCTGTGTGTGTGTTACCTTAATACACATTTGCTTCTTTTCATAGGGAGGCTTAATGGATGAAAAGCTCCTACTTATTATCCAACATCACTTTAAATATTTTGATTTTATTATTCTAATTTTTTATTCATTTATTTGTATATTATTTTTTTATTTTGTTGGATTTTTGTTTTTTGTTGCAAAACTTGACATGTATTAAATAATGCCAAACCTGACAGGGGTGCAGGCAAGAAAGAAGAGCAAAGAGAAACAAACCAATCCGAAAAGGAGAAAGATCCTTTAGACAGAGAGGGAGAGAAAGAAAAAAGAGAGATAACAAAACCATACACCCAGAAGCTATGTTTGTTAAAAAAACAAACAAACATTCACTTCTGATTTCTAAAAGCGCTCATCTCTGAGTGATAACTACTGGAATCGTAGCTTCTCATTGGTGGGTTTTGTGGGTCACAGGACAAGAGCCCAAGCAGCAGTGATTGTGTGTCTGTGTGTGTCGCTGCACAAAGGCATCCCCAGTGAGCCCCCATGACATACAGTAGCTTCTTTTTTTGTGTCTTGTTTGTGGGAAGACCCAGCAAACAAAGGCTGCTGAGTGATGACCCCCCTCTCACAATGACGTTGCCAGGGCAACGAAGCTGAGATTCCAGCATGGGTCTGGGTATCGGGGCCCTGGCGCCGCCGGCTGCCCGCCGCCCTGCCCTTCCCACAGAAAACCAGAGCACGCTCGGGTGTTCAGGGGGAGCGGGGCCAGTCCGGCTCGGGCTGTGGTGGGAACAGGAAGGAAGCCCGCTTCTTAAACCCTGTCTATGTGGGATGTTGTCGAAGTTCTCCAAGGAGAAGTGCTGGTTGGAGCCTCCGTCGGAGAAGGTGAAGAAGCAACTGGAGGAGGAGCTGAAGCTGAGCGGCACCGACCCGAAGAGCCAGGCCTGGTACCACGGACTCATCCCCTGGGAGGTCAGCCTCCAAACACACAGCTTGGCTGTTTTTCTTTTAGCTTTGCACACTTACAGACACAAAAATAGAGTTCCTTAAAGCCCTTTTGCTGCCTTGTGGCAACACACCTTCACACCTCAAACCACTTGTAAACAAAGTGGTTTTCTGAGGCAGTGGGCATCGTGAGAAAGCAGGAAACTGGTGTCTAACCGAAAACTTCATGCGAAGTTCACTTGAAATCTGCAGCATGAGATGCTCCTGAATTGAACTCCTCTGAGCCGGTAAAAACTCCTGTTTCTACTTATTTTCTGTCGCATTGCAATGTTTTAGCTGCAGAGTTTTAAGCCGACAGATATTAAGTTTCATTAGCCAAAATGTGTAAAATCCTGCTGATCTTATGGAAGAACCAAGAACATTTTATTTGTTTTAAAACATTTATTTTATTTATTTATTTATTTTGAGTTGAATCTATCTTATTGAATTGAAACAAGTTTGTTGAAATAACAAAGGCTGCTTAATATTACTTGAATCTTTTGTTTTAAACGTGAAATTTTAGATGTAAAAGAGCAAGTTTAAAAACTAAAAGACCACAAACCAGCTGTGACACATCTGTCTTCAGGCGTTATTCCTCTAACCGATGGGGGGGGTGCGTCTCTGCAGGTGTCGGAGAGCCTGGTGGTGAACCAGGGGGATTTCCTCATCAGGGCCTCTCAGTCCAGTCGGGGCGACTTTGTCCTGACAAGCCGCTGGGAGCAGAAAACGCTTCACTTCCCCATCAGGAGGGTGGTGCTGCAGTCCGCTGAGCTGAGCCCCCGGGTCCAGTACAGCCTGGAGGGAAAGCAGTTCGACTCCTTACCGGCTCTAGTTCACTTCTACCTGGGCAGCCGGGCGGCTCTGACCCAGTGGAGCGGCGCACAGATCCACCAGCCAGTGAACCGGACGCTGCCACTCGGCCAGCTAGAGGCGGCCTTCAGCACAGGAGGGGAGGAGCGCCTCAGTCTGAAAAGGTTTGCTCAGTAAAAATTACTTACTAGTATTAGTTTAAGTCTCAGAAACGGAAAGCTTTCAATCCTAATAAATGGACCAGAAATGAACATCCACCCTGTCATCGCAGCTGATTTTATACTGATGTTTAGATAGAACGAAGATAGAATGAAACAAAAACCTGAGTAAGACTTAATAACCCTAGAGCTAATTTAGCTGCAGCATGATGCAAAATGATGTTTGAAGGACAGAAAAGACGCCGTGTGAAAGCTCAACAGGAGGTTATTTGTGTCTCCAAACAGTCCTTCCCGTCTCCACCACAAGGGGGCAGAAGTTTGCGGGGAGCAGAGGAGCCCTGCATCTACGTTAGCTGGAGAAACCTCCAACTTCACTGCCTGCAGCCACAGTGAGTTCAACTTCTCATCCTGACTCTCAGTGCAGAAAAATATTCCCTTTAGCTTAACTAAAACTAAAAAAAAAATATTTTGAAGGAAGTCCAGATAATGCAGCTCTTAAACCAGATGTTATCTTCCTTTCTGAGCTCCCATGACTCATCAGGTCCAGTTTTCTGGGGGGGTAATGGTATAATGGGGAGTAATTAACCAAAATTCGGCTTCTCTGTGACTTGTGTGGGCTCAGCAGTCACAAACAGTGGATTTCTTTTTACCCATTTTTGTCCAAATATGTTCATTTTTGGCTTAAAAATCGATACTTTGAGAAATTTCCACAGCACTGATCGATCCATATATAACAGTAAGGTAATACATAAAGACTTTCTTAAGAAGTTGATCATTTCTAACCATCAGCTGCCACGTGGTGGGGAAAATGTCAAAGATTATTTAGATAGATTATTACAGAGGCTTTAAATATGGGTTTTAACACATTTTTTGTCCACTTTCTTTGCTTTTTAAATCTAATTTGAAGTTCAGAAAATTGAAAATGTCTAGCTTTGCTTTACAAACACATCCTCCTCTGATTCTCCACCCGTCCCAGTATGTGACTGAGGATAAAATCAGACCTTCAGTTCGGACTCTGGCGTGTTTGTGCCTGCACTGTGCCAGCGGCTCCTATTCATTAACTGTAACCTTTGGGCTTCCTGTCTGAACTGGTATCTGTAGTTATCTGCAGGAGATGTTACTCTGCCTGAAAACATTCAGATTATGTTTCCAATATTTACACAAATACAAAAAAATATGTCCTTTGAAAAACTGAGTGATGCAAATAAAACAGCACAACTACTTTCTTGCTCTTAAAGAATTTTAATCAATATCTCAGTAATTAGTTTGTTTAAAAAGACACAAACTAGCATTTCTGTCTTCTAACCAGTTTCCATTTCCTATATTTGTATCTGCTTTTACCTTAAAAAGCAGCAAGAGTTACCTTTAAGTAATACAGGATATTTACATATTTGGTTCACCTGATTGATAATAAAACATTAATCCGGCCTAATTTCAATTTTACAAAAATATATAATGGAAAAAGTGAAAATATAATGCGTAATAGTATGAAGAAGAAATTTGCTCAATATATAAAATATTTAAATAAACGTGCACACAAAATTGACATTTCAAACTGACTCAGATTTTAATAGTATGCAGAGTTTCAGCTGTGTGATGAATTTAAGTGCTGGCAGAAAATGTGGCACATTTTACTGTTTTCAACAGTATAATTTCTCTGTGCACAAATGCTGAGTCACTAAAGATGTTTCTGGGTGGAAATAAACAAGCTCATGGCCTCTGAATGTGAAAAAATCCCCAAAACATTTACCATAACTTGGACAAAGTGTGTGTATTGATCAATAATAAATGCTTCTTCTTCAAGAGGCACTTGAACTGGACCCAGGCCACTTTTTTGTAAATTTCCAGGAAAATGGCTTAATATTCTATAACCATGCAAACAGCATGGGGATTTATTAAAACCCAGATGTCCTGCTGTTCAAATGATCATCTTTTAGATTTGTAACTTTTTTTCTTGAACATTTAATGATGTTCAGTTTGTATGTGAATGGAATTTAACTTTATTTTTTGTTCATTTAATAATAATAATGATAATGATACAGTGTAATATGTCAACTTTGTGACTAAATGAGCCTGTATTTATTTAATTACATAATCACTGAAAGATTTATTTTAACACATGAAAATGATACTGATTAAGTTTATTTGAAAACTTTCAAATGGACATAATTTACATTTATAGGCTTGACCAACACAAATGTCTACAACAGCCTGCTGCTTTCTGCTGGTATTTCACCTCGTTTTGGGACACAGAATGACACAAAGGAGCATTTCCTCGAGTCATATCTACAACTGAAAGAGTGTTCAAATTATCAAAAACTCTGAGCACAATAGCATTGTCCCCCTGTAGCTATCTCATCACACAGACTCAAAACTCAAATTTCCTGAGGTGGTGATTAAATGAAAGTAGCTGTGAATTAAGGACATTTACTTTAGTTTAGAACCAATTTGCTGTCACATATTTGACTAATTTCCATTTAAAAACACACAAAAGCACATTATTGAAATGATGATGTCCTTCATGAATACAGATTTACTAAAGTCAACACTAAAAAAGTCAATTTTCAGTCAACAAGCTTTAACACAGAATCGCATTTCCTTCTTATTTAATTTAGGGAAAAATGTGCTCACTGCTGAGAGTAATTGTGTTAGTGCTCTGCATAAGCTTTGCAGGATGGGATAAGATGATGCAAAACTTTTTAAAAAGTTGAAAAAAAGAATCTTCATAAATTCCCTGAAAGATAAAAACACTAATAAAAATGATAGCTTGTAGAAATGTATGGACCTTCACTTCTTCAGTTCTTATTAAACATATCTACTTCATTTAAGAGGTATTCGCCTGTGATTTTTAAAGCACTTTAACTTTAGCTATAACTTCAATGTCACATTTCTAAAGTTCTGAAAAAATATTTTCTTCCTATGAAATAAGGATAGATGATTGAAAGTGTGTTTTTTTAGTTATCAGAGGTCTGTTGGTGTGTCTTCCTTCTATACCCACTTATTCCATGTTCTATTGTGCGAGACGAAGAGTGGATTGTCCACTTTCGGCATACCTTCACTCTTTTTTAGCTTTGCCTCCATAAAACACCCTCCGACAAAGACATTTCACAGTGTAAATAAGAACAGTTAGTATGGTGAAAACAACTGCCAGCAGAAACGCCACCACGTCAATGGAGTAGTACT